TGACAGGGCGAGATCGGGCGTTGTGATTTGAATTAGAAATAAAACCAAGAGGGCGGTCAAAGGCTCCGCTTTATTTAAAGTGCCGAAAAACACCATTGTCTTTTTGATATTCTGATGATTGTGAGACACAACTTTGCACAAACCCGTCCACAGCTCACCTCTTTGTCCCATCCACAGATCATGCTCCCCATGGAGAGGCCCATGCCTCTGTAACCCAGCATCATGTTGGACAGCAGCTTGGAGGCAGCAGCCACAGAGATTCTGTGGTTGTTCCTTAGCCTGTACAGTCTGGATGAAGGAATAATAAAAGAAAGAACCAATAAGTTATTTACAAAATCAATTGATAAATCAGCCTCTTTTAMACTCTCCTTAAAAACCTGTGGAACTCACAACAATGAAACAATATGAAAGAACTTTAAAAAGTGAAGTTACAAGGCTGTGGATATAATTATTTTAAGAGTGGATGAACTACACATCCCATAAACCCTTGCAAACCCACAAGCTGCAGTTCATGACTTTGTGTCAGGTGAGTTTATTGTGATTCTGTCATCTCCTCTGATTTCTTGGGGCAAGCTGACACAGGAATTTCCTTTGGGATTCATAAAACCTCATCTCATCGTATCTTATGTTATATATTAATACAGAGAATATATGTTTTCAAAGCTGTTGTCATGACGGACCTGCATTCTTTAGCCAGGAGTCTCTCCCAGTACTGACAGTCTGCAGCGCTGCCYGACATGGTGCCCAGCAGGTAGGGGTTGATCTCTATGACCTTGTTGACATCGTTRGAAGCTGCGATGCAGTGACACATTTTGGAAAAGGGAGACAATTAGAGTGAATCAAGATGACAGCACCACAGTTCAACTTTACATTTACCAGTAAAGTTTTGACCAATTCGAGCTTTCATGCTTCTTCAGATGTGTATTTACATAAGTATCGTCCAGCTGAGGCTCTGGAGTCCACAGCCACGATGACTCCATGTTTGAACTTGAAGGCCAAGGTGGTCGTACCGTGGTCCAGGTCAATACACACACCTGCGTCCCGGTTACAGGACCTGAGAAACACTGAGGGCTGGAACAGAACCAAAGAAAGGCGCATGAGCAATGGCGCAGTGTGTGTGTGTGTGTGTGTGTGTGTGTGTGTGTGTGTGTGTGTGTGTGTGTGTGTGTGTGTGTGTGTGTCAGAGAATATACATTTCATAACCTGATATTTTGCTCAGAACATCATCATGAAGACAAACGCACGATTCGAAACAGATACAGTGAAAACAAGTGACGCGTAAAATGATCCGCTCCGCGTCTGGAGCGTGTGCCGCTTCAGGCTTGAGGCCGGTTTACCGGACAGGACTCAGTTCGATAACTTCATTACAAACATCCTGGTACTCACGTCTACACCCAGAGGTAAAGCAAACTCTGGAGTTTTGGTCCCGAAGCTGTAGTGGTTGGTTCGGTCCACGAGACGCGTCTGTCCCGCTGGAAGAATCTGTCCGCGGAGTTCAGAGTAACGATTAAAACCACTCACGTCCAGAAGAGCCATTGTGTATYTGATGGAAAAAATATGTTGTAATTATTTCTAKAGTGAAGATGCATCAAACGTCCTAAATAACGAAGCTGCCTGACACCGCGTCAAGACTCATTTCCTTGTGCGTAACAATGAATCCGAAAGTGAAAGTTTTTAGAATTTCTGTAGCGTCGTCTCATAAAAATAAAGAACCTGTGTTCAACCATCAATAACTCATCAAAYCGTTTCTGTTTGTTTMATCCAMTAGTTTGTTTGTTTCATCCAATAGTTAATCGATAAGAATAAAAAATATTMTTAGSACAAAAACCAYCCAAAGCACAAACCAATAGGAAAGCGTGGTATTTTCTCATCATCGGTCTCTAAGCAGAAATGCAGCACTGAGGTTGTGGGGAGTGAGCTGACTTATTTATTAGTACATAACAATGTGCATCAATTTACCATCAGGACATGTTAAAATACA